GATTGAATACAAAGGGGAGGGAAAGCAAAGCTAAGGAGACGATGATCTTGCTGTGATGCACATCACTCCTTCCGCTTTACAGCTCAGGGATCTCTAGCTTTGCTCATTATGAAAAAGGAAACCTGACTATCTACAAGTAGAGTTATGGGTTAGGGGACCATTTACTAAAAATAACGAGAATGCACTTATGAAAGGTGGTTACATGATGATGAGTCAGCCTGAAAAGTAGCACAGCAGAGTTCATATAGTGTTCAATCAACTTCAAAGTATGACCTGTTCTGGAATAGATCCTGAGCTGGGTGATGTTACCTTTTTTTTGGGGGGGGGGACAACAGCTCCCAAAATTTCCATGCCAGAATGGACAATGTTCCTCAAAAAGGCAATTTTCCCAATACCTGCAAAAGGCTGATTCAAATGGACGACATGCAGCAGCAGTAGAAAGGAAGGCTTCCACGGTTAAGTAACTGGTACAACAAGGATGTCAATTAAGGACAAACAGAAAAGATTTCCTTGAACTGCTAAATGACAAGAGCTGTTGTGAATAATAAAATAGGCAGGTAGAAATAGGCTGCTTCTGCTGAAGAGTTTGAGGTTGGCCTCAGTGTGACATCTTCTGCAGAAAAATATGGGCCATTGTGAACACTCGGGAGACCACTGCAAGACTAGCACGGTAGTAGCAGCTGCTTGGATGACATCCATTTCGCACTAGACACAAGTGCGGAGGATGAGCATGAGGACTTCGCAAGTAATCAATTGCAACAACACAAAGATGCTCATCCTGGCTTACAAAAGTGAAGCAGGGGAAGTGGTCCAGTACTATTTTCTGTTAATCTCCACAACTATCCAAGAACATTTTGGCTAGGGAAAGCAAGCAGTTTACTACCGGACAGAAACATCTCAGCTTGAGGTATTTTTGAGGGCAAATGACATTTTCAAAAATAACCACTGCCCTGGGGAACCCAGAAGGTATACCTGCTTGAATGGCACCTCTCACTGCCAAAGCACCTCTCATGTGGAAATCTAACATATCAAGGAAAGGAGTTCTAACCTACCATTTGACCTCTATTGTAGTTTTCTATAACAATACACAACTTCCTCTTTCTTCTTCAACTTCTATTTAGTGGCAGCACATTCAAAGAATGCTTGGACCAAGAGCTTACATTTCTTTTAGGTTTCATACCCCGCCAACAACCTAGGCATTCTTGGTCTTTTCCAGCGAGTCAGCATTAGGATTTTCTTTCAGCAAAGAGGGACTGAAAATACACCCTTAGACATTCGACAGGAGGGTGAAAGCTGCCACTGTGTCCAGAATGAGCCAGGCAGATAAATCACCACAAGCTATCTAACAACACCACAGCCATGGGAATACCACAAAATATGTCAACATGTATGTTGGTTTTTATCTTGATGAGTGGCACAAAGCAAAACACCTCAAAGGTGACAGTGACCATAAAGGATCGGTCAAAGTGCTCTTCTTGAGTTTTCCATCTTTCTGTGAGCTTTTCCAAATGTTCTTCTTTCCCATCCAGGGCATCAAAAGTTACCTGTTCTTTGATAGGAATGTGGATTTTTGGCAGGTTGAATGATGCTTTTTCTTTTCTTATCTTATCCTTTCCTTTCTTTTTTTAGCCGCCTAGAGTGGAGGAGTCACCCAGATAGGCGGGGTATAAATCAAATAAATCATCATCATCATCATCATCATTCTTTTGAAGAATCTTAGGGGAAATGTTAAATAAATCAAGTCTCAAAACCCAAAAGGAGACAAAAGCAGGGTGATTTTATTACAACATTCCATAATTGCAGTTGCTGTGGCAGAAACCACAGCTAGTTCTGTGATGAGACAAACATCTCAACTAGCCCTCTTGTTCAAGGATTTTTACACCTCACCGCTTTTCTAGTTGCAACGGCTGAAATCCAACTGGAACTCACAACTAGAGTAGGCCCATTTAATCAGTAGCGCTTACAGAAGAACAGAGTCACCAAATCCTCACTGATTCAATGAGCCTACTCTAGTTTTGAGTTCCAGCTGGATTTCAGCGAATGACTGTTCATCAAAAAAAATGTGAAAAGAAATCCACAGTTTTTTTTAAACAGTAACACAGATCTTTTCACTTCCCAGATTCATTCTAAGTGGACTCCTAATGGCTAAAGCTGACCTGTCACAATTACATCGAGTTACTTTTCCTGCCTTCCTTGTGCATCATAACAGCCAATTGAATCGTTCTATCCATCTAGACACATTGTTCTAAACTTATATGCACATGTGTGCACTCATACACACAACCATACTGGTGAGGCACATGGTCATCTGTTTTGGTGAGTAATTTTCTTTAGATTTGAGCAACATTTATGTCTCCTTAGTGCAAGAACTGTGGAAATGACATCTACCCTTTGAAGCACAATGAGAGTGCAGTGTTTTGCCCCTGCACTGGAAGTGCACAGCATATTTGTTTCCTGGAGCTGGAAACCTGCACAACCAGGACTCCAGTTGCCATGGAAATCTGCATGCATTTGTTTTTTTGGCTTGGCTTTTGGTGGCCAGATAGCTGTATGACCTCACAGAAGGGCCAGCAGGATTGCATGCTGCAACCGCCAACATGAAAAAGAGGCATTCATTTGGAGAAGGAGTTGCAACTGTCTGAGCGTGGTTAATATCTCTCCAACCTATGACAGTTGCTTGTACAAACACAGTGTGCTATTTCGAGCTCTGCCACAGAGAGAAAGTGAACTCTAGAAACAGCAGACAAAAATGACAGCATTACAATCCTTGGGAACAAAGAGACAAGAGGACAGGAGTTTCTGCAGTCAGAGTAGAGGTTGCTGCCAAGAGTAAGAGTCATTCTACCCTGGGATTTCAGATGGGACTTTTATCACACTTGTAATTAGAAGGCACTTTGCAGCAGTTCCACCTTTGCTCCCCAATGGACGTGCCAACATAAGGAAAAAGAAGGAAGACATAGTGCATGTGTGGGGGGGAAGGATGTCACGTTAACCCCAGCGAAATTCAGTGAATGAGGGGCAAAGCCATGATAAAAGCATCAGCTGAAACTGTGCAGTGGAAGAAGTGAGGCAAGAAGAGGGAGCTGATGAGATGGAGAGAAGGGAAACAAGGGAGTGAAGTAGAAAGTAGAAGTGAGGTGGGCTCGGGGTAAGAGGGAGCTGGGTAAGTTGAGGAAAGGGACAGTGATGCTGTGGTGTAGGAGATGTGATGCACCTCTGATGATGGAAAAGCTTGTGCTGCCACTGATAAGCCCATCAGTGCTGAAATCCTGTTCAGGTTGGCATAATGTAAAGTCATGCTTGAAGAAGAGTGCAAGGCATTATACCCAAGCAGCCAGCACTGTGCGATTTGATTGCACAACTAATTGGCTTGGTTCATGTCGCAACTGCTGCACAACAACTCTACAAAAATGCTTTGCAGTTACTACATCCACCCTGCTGCAATCTTCTCGGCCACTTGTGAAGGTTCGCATTAAACTGCATAACTGTGGAAAATTATTTCAGCTACCAATTCAGCCCTGATCCTTTAAAAACCCCAAAATCTCAAGGACTGCTAGATGTGGGCAGGAGTGTCCCTGATTTTTCTGCCAACCCCCCCCCAAAAAAGAAACAAACAAACACACAAAAAGAATCAGGTGTATGTAAGGGGTTTCCTCTTCGGTTCCAGCAGGAAAGGAAAACACTGCATTTCCTCAAATTCCTGCTATACTTTTGATAATGAGCAACTCCCCATCTGATTTTATTTGGCAAGATACACTGAAGTGTCTAGCTGAGCCACAAGGATTAAGAACGTTGACAAGTATTCTACCACAGAAGGAAGGTGTGAGAGGCCTAGCCTTCTTTATCTCCAAAATATGAAATAAAAATTCAAGTGCATCAAAACGGTGTATAGTTGCAGTCTTGTGTTGCAAAGCCCCGATCGCCCATTTCCCCACTAAACTACAGCTTCTGGGGTTTGGTTATCTGTTGCAGAAACACACATGAATCCATCTCTTGCACTACAATGAAATGCTTATGTTGGCACAATGAACTAGAGCAATGGTTCTTAACCTTTGTTACTCAGGTGTTTTTGAACTGCAACTCCCAGAAACCTCAGCCAGCAGAGCTGATGGTGAAGGCTTCTGGGAGTTGCAGTCCAAAAACATCTGAGTAACAAAGGTTAAGAACCAGTGAACTAGAGAATGGAGAGATAGAAGCACAGAAATAATGGCACTGTGCTGGATCTCCATGAATACTCACACAACCCAAAGAGCACGTACAAATTGTTCAGTTTCTTCCCTCACAACCCTCTTTACAATTAACAGGCACAGAGTTAATGTCAGCTGTCCTGGATAAGCTGTGTTGCTAATTTTAGCATAAAAGATAGGTCGAGTGAATAAAACATGGAATTACACAAACAAATAAGATCCCAGAGAAAAGCCTTGTGAAAGAATTCTAATGTTTGAGACGTACGTACATTTCCTAAATGTGTGATATTGTGTAATGCCACCTTTTTTAAAAGGGCAGAGTCTGTAAAACGCAGTTATTTTAACATGGATGACTTGAAAAGTCTTCTTTAAATAATTCACTTTTTTTAAGCTTGTAGTTGAGCTGTGGGTGAGCAGAGGACAAGCACACAATCAGGAAAATGGCTAAATTTTTGAAGCACCTTCCATCTTGACAGCTCTGCTTGATCTTGTGCATTCTGGCATTTCTTGAATGCTGGAGAACACTGGAATGTGGAAATTTTTTTTTTTACTAACACAAACCACTCACAGAATATAATTATTAGAACCTGGATCGAAAGAACCAGGCAACTCTTTCTGTGTACCCAACAACAGACTTGTGGTTTCATAGCTCAGAAACAGCATGGTGAGAGCTCACCGTTCAAATGGGCACTCCTTTAGGCATGCTCAAGTTCTTTGGATATTCTGGCTCCTGGCTTTTTGTGCCCATAAAATGAAACACAGCTAGTCATTCCCAGAATCTACTGTTGGGATTGAAAATACTTAATACACAGCTAGTCATTCCCAGAATCTACTGTTAGGATTGAAAATATTTTAACAACCAGGAACTCTGGCTTTGTTGAGCTATTGAACAGCAGATTAAATGCCTAGAGCAAGGACGGGCCTTAATTTTTTGCTCCCTGGACCGAGTATGGGCAGTATCAAGCTACGAGCAGACGTGACTGGAAAGTTTTATTTATTTGGATTGGTAGGCAGTTTGTGGAACGGGGACTGAAGAAATGGCAGCACAAGTCCAACCCCTGACATACATCTTTGAAAGGATGGCTCCGAGTTGAACAGATCTGGGCTGAGTTCTGCGTTTGTCCAGGAAGCTCTGTGGACCAGTTCAGTCCCCTCAGCCTGATCTACCTCACAGGGTTGCACTGAGGGGAAAACAAAACAAATACAAAAAGCAGCTCACTACAGAAAAGACAGAACAGGAATGTAATTAAGAAATAAATAACAAGAAACAATAGCCCATCTGGAAGGAAGCTTTAAAAAAAATCTTCATTTTACATAAAGATCGATCTCTCTCTCTCTTTTAAAATCACAAACTGAAACATCATGATTACAAAATGGATGGCTAAATTCAAAACATATAATTCTAGTGGGGAATACCTTGTCCACAACTACCACCACCACCAGCTGCCACCACCACCACCACCACCACCTTCCAACAGAGTGGCAGCTCCAAGAGAGTCTACGTTTGCTCATGTGATTGAACAGTGAATTCCGGACGTATGGAGTGATGCTGCAAGAGTAGAGGCCAGTGAGCCGTGTTGCGTTCATGCAGCAAGCCATGGCTATATCTTTTGAAATCTCTATGGTGCCACATCGGGAATCCCAACCAGTTTGCAGCTTTTGCTCCACAGTCTTTTCTGCAGCTCCTCATCATAGGAAGGATCAGCAGATTTTGTCCTTTGCTCATTGTAAAGATAACAGCCACCGATTCCCTCTAGCTCTGGCGAAACAGCGGCGTAGACTGACGTAGATGCCCCCTCTTCAGGTGTCTGTGGATCAGAGGAACGAAAGAAAGATAAAGTAAGTAAAATGGAAGCAGGGCGTTTTGATGTTCATCAAGACATCAGGAGTACATTATTGATTGTTATTACTATTGTCATTGTAGATTTTTGGCTTCCTGTCACAGAAGCAGTTTGATTTTTTTTCTTCCTTGTGCAAAGAGGATCTAGTACCTCTTTATGCAAAGGGAGTGTCATACATTTAAATAGCCATCCCCATTCTCCGAATAGCAAGTGTGGTGATCCCACTGTTAAAATGCCATCAGAACTGTCCAATTCACTGTTGCTGAGCAGGATCCCAGCATTTATATTTCTTAGGCTGAATGACAAACTTGGCCATGGCTGCTAGTTTTTGGGTAGATTTTCAGCCATTTCTGAATATCAGGTTCTTTGAGGTGAGCAAAACAAGGCTATGTCAACAGTGGGATTTCTTAAATCACTCATCTTTTTGCAAATGTCAGTCTCTGACTTTTTGCTTGGAACCACAGAAGGATAAAACCAGAGGTCGTCACATGCCTGGAGAGATACTGGAAATTGGGGTTTGTTATTCATGGATTTAGTCCAAGCTCCCCCCCCCTTCCCCCAATCTGCATGCAGCAGTGTTATACAGTACATAACCGGCAAGTCATGGTTTTTTTTTTCAGCAGCAGAACTGATGCATTTCAGAAAGCAAGAAACCGTACTGAAATTTCCAGTGCAATTACTCATTTTACCAGGATGAAATGTTCTTTAATCTGCCACAAGCAGATGAAGCTGTGGGCTGTATATATAATGTATTCCATTCAGTGACTCGATATGAACCAGACACCACGATAACTGGGGTGACAGCAAATGAAGATTGTGGGGTTTTAATCCAGCAAAGGAAGGTAAACCAGAAGATTCTGTTTGACATAAAGAATTACCATCAAACTGCTGTGCTGTCAGAGAGAAAACGAGTACGTGCCAAACAGAAAAAAAAAATCCCACCAGATCAGAAGTAACCATTTGTATTCACAGCATACCTTTTGCCATGCATTGAACAAATTACCTCAGAGCATTAGTTGCAGGAATGTCCCTAAGGTGTCTTTGTTTTTAAATTATGGATTTAATTTTTCTTCCTATCTGCCATGTGTACTAATATGTTTCCCACAGAGTCCGCATTTCGAAGGTACTGTCCTAGCTCATCATGAGGCAAAGTCAAGAACTCGAGCCGACTGATGATGAAAATTTACTAAAGGAGATTTGTTTATTTTCAGCTTTCCCCCCTAATCCTGCAGCACCTGAGACAACATGTAAACACGATTACACTTGACGATCATGTGAAAACAAATAAGCAAGCTAAATAAACACAAACAAAATGGAAGGGAGTAATCAAGAACATGGGGAGCATGTTCTTTGTGAATCGTGGGGAAGGACAGAAATAGAAAAAAAAATGCATGGTTTCATAAAGCCAGTTAAATTAATGAGTTTGAAAGTACAGTCCTCCCAAACTCTGCCTAAACATGAAGACTTTACAATCCTTCCTAAGAATTACAGAGATAACATATCTGACAGCACATTCTGGAGTCCTGGAATTATACTGTGTTTGTTCTCTGCAACCATCTTGATCCTTCTATATGGGATTTCATACAGGAGTTAAAATTGCAGATATTTAATTGTTCAGAGTTAGCATAAAGATTATCCTTAGATGGCTCCAGGAGGAGAAAAGGAGGCAAAGGCACAGAGTAAGAACAGAAGGAAGGAGGAACTGAATGAAGAAGAAAAAAAACAGAAAGGGAAAAAAAAGTGGAGGGGAGTGAAGATATGCTTGCATTGAGACTCAGGTTTCAGCGTCCTCTGTGCTGAGGAGAAGAAAGGGAAAAAAGGGTAGAGGTTAGTAAAAGCTGAGTAATTTTTGGAAATGTGTGAGTCCAGATTGTAAAAGATTTTAAAGGAAAAAATGAACAGTGAGTTTGAAAGCACTTGTAGACTCAATACTTCTTTTTACACGCAACTCCAGCAGCAACATTTCTGCATTGCTTGGATTTCAGTTCTAGCTTGTTTGCCTTCCTCCACTACATCACACATTCTGAACACTCTTTCACAATCAAAGATAACCAGTACTTGTTTAATGAAATAAATAACATATTATTGACACTACTCTAGTCTTTTCAAATATAACAACCTTCAAATGTGTTCAGACACCAACTCCCATCACCCCCAACCAGTACATCCAATTGGCCAGGGTGGTTGAGAATGATGGGTGTTGTGGCCCAACACATCAGAAGCACCCTGGAGTAGAGAAGCCTGCTTGCTGTTTGAACAAGAGCCTCTTCACCAGTAAGTTCACATGAACACTAAACACCTCATGTAACACTGGGTTCTGTGAAAGAGGCATGGGACCCCTTTTGACCTCCAGATGTCAACTTGTGACACCTCCCCATCCTAGTCTGGGTTGATGGGAGCTGGAGCCTAGCAATACCCACATAGTCAGCAATACCCACATAGTCAGCAATATCCACATAGTCACAAATTCCCAGGGCCAATGTATAACTGTTGTTTAAGACTAGTTTATACCCATGATCAGAGTTTTCTTTATTTTATTTTTTTAATGCACAGCTAATCTGTGTAAATTCTTTTATTCTCACTGGATATTTTAAGGAGACTTCCCAGTCTATAGTATTCAAAATCAGGGAGAATTCCAGAAGTCTCAGTATTGAGAAATCTCCCTTGCTCATCTAACTCAGTGGTTCCCTCTCTTGGGTAACCCATGTGTTCTGTAACAACTGGGCTGGGTTGGAGCGCTTTTCTCTATGCGTTGTGTGCCAGGAAATAGATTGCACTGGACCATTCCACAAGTGTTCCAAATTCCGATCTATTTCTCCATGTGATCACAACCACAGTTTCTACTCTTACAATGCCTTCTCCCTGTAATCCGTTTCTTCTGTGTGCCTCTAGAGTGAGGTATGGAAAAGCAGCAGTAGTTTACATCCCCAGATAATCCAGATGGCACACGTGCTTTTCCTTTTTATGTACTGGATTTCCACAGCTATACCTTTCTGTCACTTATGGGGGTGCTCCTTTTAGAAACAGATTGGTCTTAAGTGGGGTTCAAAGGGTGAAGCAAATGAAGAACCTCCATGTCAGCATATATTGCTTCAATACCTTTGTCAAAAATACCGTGGGCATTGTGTCAGAAAGATGCAGTGGTGAACCAAGCTGTGATGAGATACCCGCTGAAACCTCTATAAAAATAAAATGGTGAGGATCTTCTTCAGCAATAATAATGTTGAATTAAAAATATCTGTAACACAACTATAGTAAGCAGACTGCTGCAAAGTTTAGCACAAATGTATTTTTACCACAATACTGTTGAAATGTACAAAAAAGAATTATGTGTAGGGTAAGAACGAAGGTTAAATACTAGTTTCTAGAGTGCAGCTTTGCCCAATGCCATTTATAGGCAGTGTTTACTAGTACAATCCAGGACTTAGCTACTGTTTACATGGTTGTGACTCCTACTTCTGTGAAAACTAATTACCCACGATAGCTGTTTTCCAGCCCCAGTAACAGAAAGGGGCCAATGAAAGATGCATCGCTATAGCAACTGGGGCAGGCTAAAGGAAAAATTACATCCAGAGAAAACTACAAAAGCCTTCTGACAGGCTTTCTGAAGACTGAGAACTATGAAGAAGGATACTGGATACTTGTAACAGGGAGCTAGAAAATAAAATTATTTCTTGAAATTACTATGATCTCCAAATACCACCTGTCAAATCATCATCATCATCATCACCACCACCACCACCATCACCACCACCTTTATTGGCATAAAAATGTATAGCAAATAGTTGTCACACTTGTCATCTCATGCTATTCACATGCACACTGAAGTTAACATTCTCAACGAACAAACAGTTAAACAAAGAAACCACCTCTGAATTCTCTGCAAATGTTAGTGAAAGACAAAACTACAAAAAGTCAATAGAAAATGACAGACAATATAGTACAGTAATTTGCAGGCTCTTCTTTTCTCGAAACAAAGTGAAGCAAGAATTTTCTAAGACATTTTCATATTCACCAATGGATGTTATTTTTCTTTGGTATGTTTCTATATGGTCCTATTTATTGTATGTTCCTATTCTTCTTTCCCTTAGCTTCTTGTTCTATATCATTCAGATATTTTTTCCGTTCAAAATCCTACTCATTTACCTTCGGAGTGGAGGAACACAAGAAAACCCAAGGTAAATATCATAAACTGTTGTGTTCAATTTAGCACTAATCTACTGTAAAGCAACTATCTCCCAAAACGTAGCATCCCTACAGGAACTGCAGGCTGGGATCAAGGAGCAAGAATGCTAGTAAAGTGGTACCTCACTAGACGACGACCTCGTAAAACGACGAATCTGCATGACAATGAGGTTTTGCGATCGCTATAGCGATTTGCAAAACAGTGATTCCAATGGGGGATTTTCGCTGGATGATGATTTGGTCCGTGCTTCGCGGACAGTTTTTTCACACGATGACGATTTTTACAGCTGATCGGCAGCAGTAGGGTGGTCAAGGGGCTTTGAGTGAATGAAACCCCCCAGTATGGTAAAACATAGAAACAGAAAGTGTCCTTCCTTTGCCTCCTCTGTGTACTCAGCTTCCCTCTTTCCCTAAAATCTATTACTACTCTTCTTCCTCTTGCTCTGTAGATGCACCTCTAAGTCCTCTCTTCTCCCCACCTCTACTGGAAATGTTCAGCTTACCCCTAATCTATTTAAACAGCAACATGGGCAGCCTGCCCTTTTCTCTTTCAAGTGATTTCCTTAGATCTCAGCTCTCCCTTTCCCCATACTGCCTCTCTCCTACTCCTGCTATTTAGATGTATTTGCATGCGTATGCACCTGCGCGCCTCCAGTCCAGGATACAAATCCTGGTAAGAGCTGCATTCCAGCGGCACCCACCAGTGCATAAATGACAGGAAAAAATTTCCACCTTGAGGAACAGCAAAAGCAATAAAAAGTCACGTGACACCTTAAAAGAGG